ATACTTTGCTCCCGCTTCCCGCCTCCCCACTTCTAGGGGACAAGTCACAGTAGACACCTCAATACTGCAACTTCAACATAAAGAGCAATGCATTGGATATAACCAGTATATTATAAAATATGGCAAATTTCAGTCACATTACTAAAGTGGATATACATCAAAACAAGTTGTGATTGTATAATGTGACAAAGTCTTAGGAGACTTAGGAAGAGTCTTTTCAAAGACAAGGCCTACTATGTGATTAGGCAATAAAATTAATAATTCAATCAAAATCCTTAAAAAATAGGAAAAGGAAATGCTTATTCCAATACCACAGCATGTCCAAAACCCAAATAAAGGAACATGCAAGCAAACAATCCCAGACCATCCTCATTTGGGCTGGTTAAAAGGCAGCTAGCCTGTCTCAAGCCAAGAGAGACTCTAGAACAGCTCAGAAGACTCTAAAAATGAATAGTCTTAATTCATTCTTTTTCTCATACTTTGGTATTATTTTCAAGAATGAAATGCTATTTCAACTTTAAATCCTATATATGGGTAAAGCAGACTCCAAATAATCTGACACATGCAATTCATATAGCCATCAGCATGACAGGTGTGTTGTTTCAGAGATAGCAGATAACATCCACAATGCCCATCCCCAATATACTGTCCCACAGACTCACTGGGACCATGCAGTTGCTGAATTGCAAGGGCTTACGCGGATTACACCCACGCAACAGGAAAACATCCATGGCAGAAAGAGACAGTGAGACAGAGCAAGCAAGAAACAGGGTGAGAGGGCAAGCGGGGGAAAGTGAGAGCTGGCAGGGGACAGAGTAAGGGAGGGAAGGGAGCAGAAGTGAGCAAGGGGGAAAGAGCAACAGTGAGCAGGAAGGAGGCAGACAAATATAGGGATGGATAGAGAGAGGCACTGGGAGGAAGAGAGAGATGCAGAGAGGGAGAGAGATGGAGACAAGGAGCCAGCACAACAGAGCGGGTATCAGAGCTCAGGCAACAGTGAGACTGATCCCATCTGCAGTGCAAGACAGCACATAGTGGTTGATGAGGCCAATCGCTATCGTACATAAAGACTCGCTATCGTACATAAAGACTCTTCTCCACTGTCTGACTAATAGGTCCCTTTCCAATGCCTGGAGCCAGAGGCTTTACTGCAGTCTGATGAAAACTTCCTGTTATCTATCAGCCTACAGTTCGTTCAATCAGAAAATGAAAAAATTACTGGTCTGAAGGGGGGGGGGAATTCTCAAGTCAAACTAGTTCTAGTACTGTATGAGAAAAATAACACTTTTAGATGCATAATATACTTCATACACTACTATTATTTTATCTCTTAAACAACTGCAAAATCCTTCTATTCAATAGTACCATCAGAGCAAAAAAGTTTTCATGCAACTGCCACAGCATAGCACCTTATACCTGAGAACTGATGATGTGGGCCCCTCCCCCCCCCCCAAGCATGTGTGAATAAGGAAAAGTATCACAAAAATATAAACACTGTTTTTAAACTCTCTCTGGTAGAAAAAAAGTTTCCACCTATCTCACAGCTTCATCTGGTGAGTTCCATAAGAAACAGTTTAGATTATGAGAGGTGGTAATAAACTCTCCAGAATATCTTAGCTAACTTTCAAAAGCTGAAGTTAGTTAATTTTTAAAATTGCAATTCAACCGGTCATTAGTGACACTCAATCTTTTTCTTCATTTCCTATGGTAGATTCTAACATTCTAGTCCAATCTTAGCTGCTGCACTTAAAAGAAGAGGTGCTGGACAAAGGCTTAAAATTACCTGTGGTTAGTTTAGTTCTGACTTACTCAAGTACTGTGTTCATATTTTTGCCATCTCTCTCCCCCACACACCATGAGATTTGGATACCACATGAGGTATGATTCATATTATTCTTTAGAAATGAATTTTAATAGACAAGCTTCAGAAATGAAAGAGCCTTCGAGTTTTGAAAATATCAGGCCTTCACTGAAAAGCATGCAAGTTTACTTCATTGTAGGCATTCTTCTGCAGCAACTTTCCCCACAGTCAGATTTGACCACCGCTAAGACCGATTTTTCTTAGTTGATTTACATCTAATGCACTTTTACCACAATCTAGCACATTTCTTTAAAGGAAAAGAAATTCACTCACCTCATACAGGAACAAATGTAATCTAGGTAGTTCCGTTCACAGAATTTCCTTCTAATATTTTGGGGTGATGGAAGGCATAGAGAGTAAGAGGAAGAACTCTGCTCACTGAAGGCAGCAGTGCTTGAAATTTGGGAATATCACGGCTCTTAAAGGAAGCATTACAAAACCCCGACATTCATACACATCCTATGATTCTGCAAAAGCCTAGTAAGTTCCTGCTATCCACCCATGTATCTAAGTAGCTACAAGAAGCTTACGTGAAAATATGCAGGGAATCAATACCTACTTTAATACAAACCCAGGATAAACTAGCTTTCAGGTATTTATCTAGGGATGTGCAAGCAGTTAAAATACAAAGCCCAATTTTGCCACCAAAAAAGGAACTTAAATGCATTTAAGAGGGTGAGGTATTGAAAGACATCTTAAGAAAAGAATACTTTGAGTCAGTTACTTCAGCACACGCAAATCTGTTACACTAAGTATTTTAGATTTACGTTAAGAACAGAAGAATGGACTCCTTGTTTGAAATCAAGGTATAATCTCACTATTCTTAACACTTTCTGAAAATTCCTCTAAATTCATGAACTGTTATGATGAGCAATAATCAGTGCACACAGCAACAAACCAAACAAAAAAAGCTAGAAATGCCTGCATCCATCTTTTGAAAAAGGGCTATATCACTGAAAATATTTAGAACTATTCAGAACAGTATTACTGAAAATAATGTACACCAGCCTTCTAAAGGACTGCCTCAGTATCATCTTCATTTGTGTTTGGCCTTCTAGTCTTCACTAGGTATTTGGGGTTTAAACTACACTCAAGCAAGGGTTTCCAAAGAACAGGTAGCACAAAGATGTTCAGCATCAAGTAATACCAAAATATGTAAAGGGATATTATTGAATTTTATTTATTTACTCAAACTTTCCTAGCATGAAATCATGCAATTTCACAGAAGATTTCCCTCATGGCTTAAAGATTCCCTACCTTATTCAAATCGCAGAACCTCCACTTAGCATGCCCATTTATGTGGTTACTATTAAAAGATCTTTTTTAAAAAGACAACCAAAAAATAACTTAGTTATCAACCAAATAAAATACTGTGAGTGAACTACTTTCCCTGATACATAGATTTTGATCCTCATACAAACTCTGCCATCTGCTACAATCTCTGACAAAATAACTGACTTCCATTCTCAATCTAAGGTTTCATTATGACAGCAAAATCTGTCTGATATCTAAGATAAAAAATACTTCAGTCCCACAGCAAGATCATGTAAGTTTATATATTTTAATGAGTCATTAAAACCTGTTATGAAGTAATATCAGACTATTCAGTACTATAAATAAAATGCCTTTTCTATAGTGGAGGGGTGCAAAATATAGACGTATATAGATGTAAACATACTGATCTTAAAGACAGGATAGAGCAGAACTGTTTAATTAATGACAGAATACATTAATTCTGTATAAGCTTTAACCATGTTAAATTTAAAACTTCATCTCAAGCTTAATGCTATAAAAATTGAGGGAACACGAAAAAAATTGTATGGATCTTGAGGAATTTTTCTCCAAATAAAAAGCTGCTGGGAAAAATAGAGGACTGGTGTATTAAATCAGGAAAAAAAAAAATATTCAAAGCTAGTGTGAGATTTGAGGAAAGTTACAACTAATTCTCAACACTTCATGATTCCTCAAGTGTAGTTCTAATCCTTGAAAAAGGCATGAGAGAAGTGAACCAAATGGTTATGGAGCTTGAAATAAAAAGCAACTATTAGTGCAAAATTAAGCTATTTTAGTTAGTCACTGATTAATTTTCAAAGTCTACGAGAACTGTCCTGTAAATTCAGTTTGTTTTCAAACGCATTATTTATCATAAAATCAAAGTAGCAAAGGATGGACAAACTATTTTACATTTAAAGTAATCAATATAAGCCAGAAAAATGTGCAAGTAAACGGTATATTCCTAAGAGTTTTTAAAATCGGTTTAGCATAAGTAAAATGCAGCCCAATAACTTAAGTTCGTACACTACAGGAACTCTGAATTCTCAGACAGCCACCAAATTATTAATAGAAACTCTGAAGAAAATGCAACGTCATTATTTATTTTTAAACACATTGTAAGGTACACTTTATTTCACTGACTTGTTGCTAAGCTTTGATCACTAGACACATTACAGAAGTTATCTTAGTCCTAGTAATGCTAGTAAGATTACTGTAGACAATTAACTTTCATCAGACCAAAAAAACTCCATACATCTGGAAAACACACACTGTTTCATTTTTACCTTATGTTAGAACTTTTTTCTAACGTGTCACGGACATATATAATTTTTTTTTTCAATTTGAAAAATTTCTAAAAATTTAGGAAACATAAGTAGATGATCAGAAGACAAAGGTAAGAGTTCGACATAAGACCTAAACCACAGCTTTCACAAGGCCTTATAATACCAGCAAGAAAAGAAGCCTATGCAGATACTGAGGGAAAAAGTGTTGTTCCCAAGATGTTTGACTTTGCCCTTTTAGAGGGCATTTTGCATTCAAAGTAGTCTTCACATGTATCAGCTTTTTTTAATGAGAGAATTTGCCTTTTTTTTTAAAAAAAAAAAACCTTCTGTATCATCCTCTGCACGTTCTCAAGTGTTACACCCTTGTCACACAGTGAATGGTAAACATCTATTATAATAAATACAGTCTATCTTGTCTTTACTAATTCATCCAACTCAAGGGCCTAGTAAAGATGAATATACAAATTAAGTTTTACCATAATGTTAAAAGGGAATGCATGATTCCACACAATTGAGATTATGACGACACGCTATCTTAGTAGAAGAGCTTGGTAAAATCATTTGACTTCGTTTTCTCCTACCTGATAAATTCTAAACGGGATGTATCGAAATCCACTATCTTCTGGAGGATATTCCATAAGCTTTCGATTTATGGCCCAAAATTGCTCAAATTTATCTGTGAAGGTAAAAGGGGATTTTGTTAATAGTAATAATATATATTCTTTAGCTAAAAGAGATCTGCAGTCATCTGCATCCTGCTATGAAAACAGTGACGTGGTGACTTATCGAACTGAAAGAGAAAGCAGCTTGAATTCATATTGTTTCTTCCATTACTAGAGAAATACTATGCCGTGAATTATCAATTGTGCTACCCAAATTAACAGTGCCCGTTGACACACTCTCTCTTGCTAGTGGTACGCGGTCTCACGTCTAGTTAAAAAGACCTGATTGTTTTTAACTGTAAAGGAACAACACGTGCGAAGTCTAAAGAAACTAAGAAGTACTAAAAAAATTATCTGGGGGTTATATTTAAATACATAAATCTTAGGATAATCTGCAATGATATACAATAAAATAAGAAAATATACTGCCAGTTTCACTGCACAATCTGAAAATAAAAGCTTGTTATGTTTGAAACACATATTTGTTAATATTATCCAGGTAACTTGGTTTAGTAAAATAACCTGACACAGTACATAACTCTGTTGCTCAGACATTATAAGAACTGAATAATATATTATGATTAAAACTTGTAAAACAGATCAACAGTAGCACAGGTCTAGAGTGGTACATGTTTTTATAGATGCAATTCAATATGGATTCAAATCAAGCAAGCAAATCAATACCAAAAGTGACATAAAGGAGTATGAAGAATTAAGATGAATAAAACTACCACTAACCTTACTGGAAAAGGCAGCTTTAGAATAGGAAGAACAAGGGATAAGTTTCCTTACAGGCCCTAACATTTCATGATACGAAGTACAATGGATGGTCCTCCAAAAGGAGCACATAGATTCTGATTATATCTCTCCTCAGAAGTGTTCACCTGACTCACAAAAAGGCTGAACGTTTAACTGTTTTAGAATTCACCACCATAAGCCAATTCCAAAACCTATCCCACTGAACAAAGGTTCTTCCAACCTCCAATACGGTCAATAACAACTAAAGCAATTGCAGAAAACCTGAGATTTGCATCACTCATTCAAGCACACAGCACAGCTGCCAGTCAGTGATTAAGGGCATACGGTAATACATATTGCAGAGTTTGAAACCTGTTGCTTTTCCTGAATGAATACGACACAAAGCAGGAATTTCCAAGAAATAGTAAACGCACTACTGCCAGGTATTCTGTAGAAGCATTGCCTCATGCTCATCTAGAAGTATTTCCACACCCTGGTTTCCTGATTAGCAGCAAGCAGTTCTTGACAAGTACTTATCTGAACCACAGTCAGCATCACCACACAGGCACCTGCCAGAGATCAGGAGCTCCCTGGATGCAGGGTGCTACCCCGCGTCTCCCCTGCGGGCAGCCTTAGCAGGTGCCAGTGACCCTGACGGTTCTGCATGCTGACTGCATCCAAGCAAGCCCCCATTTGGGAACCCCAGCCTACAGAGCTACTCTTACAACGCCTGACAAAAAGATGACTGCATGCTCTTCTTGAACTCAGCCTTGTTAATGGGAAGGTAAAGATTTAGCATACCCACCTCACATTTGGGAACAGTGTTCAGAGAACGGCTTATAGCTTTCACAACAAACTGTGTGGACAGACATCATACAGTAGGTATTAATCTATTTTAGTGCAATTACTACTTCTGACTCTACTGTAAACCCTGTTGGTAAGATTACTAATTATGGTGACACACAAAATTAAGCTAGTGTGCTTCAGAGGACTCTTAAACAAGGAATCTACATACTTGGAGACATCCTACCTGAACAAAAATAAAACAAATATTTTCATTTACTTGTTTATGACTCAAATAACAGTACCTAGGAAAGTTGAATAGACAGCTCACTGTTTTCAAAATCCAATGGAGAGGAACAAAACATGTTTTAGATCAGCAAAACAAGAAATTCTGAACAAGTAACAGACTTATGGTAAGAAGTGCATGGTTCCTTATGGATCTATGGCAAGCAAGTGAATCCTTGCAGATAAAAAATTAGATTCAGGTCATCCACAGCCAGCTTATTTCCCTTCTTCATTCCAGCTACCACACCCCCCTGAAATCATTTGAAAGATGATGCAGAAACACAAGAAACACCTGTCTAAAACTAGGGATGTTAAAAGATCCTAAAAGCTAATCACAGCAGTTCAAGCTCAACAAGTAAATGTGGGAGCCAGACAGGTTACTTTTACTTACTAATTTTCTTCAAAATAATCCGTTCTCTACTATCACTACTTAAGGAGATCATCCCAGGAGCACTCTCTATCCTTTCCCATTCTACGCTTGAGGAAAAAAAAAAAAATGCAGCTACATTTCACATGAAGATTCAGATTCTCCCTCTTCAGCCTACTCTTTTAAACCTGTATTTGCATTTAACACAACACTGGCATTTTTTCCCAACAACTTTCTACATTATATCAAGGCTTATCTACTATTTAACCTTCCATCTACTACTCTGACGTAAGTGTTACTAGTTTAGACGCCCGCTAACACTTCTCCCCCTCTATTCACTCAAACCAATTGCTGGTAGTCTTATCTAAGGCAGGTAATTTAAGAGTTTAAATGTCTCAAATTCTTCTCTGAACACTTAGACAATAACTGCCTTATTTAACCAGAAATTCTACATTTCTAATAATTTCTGTAGTTTCTAAAGATAACAGCAATAAGTGTGTGACAGTCCAACGACAAACTTGTTGCAATCAATTTTTGCCAATCCACCCAATATGCAACAAAGTGAAAAATTGCTGCTAAATTAGCTAGACACAATGGAGTCAGATATCTTAAGACACGCCTACAACATGTGTACAGCGCTGTTTGAAAACATCTAAGCTAACTGATCTTCATAATCTTACATTACTGTGTTCCCAACATCTTTCTATGGGTACAATATTTTTACTACAGGAAGATGAGTATAAAGTTTATCATATAATTTTAAAGAGAGCAGCAAGAAAAAGCTACTCAGTTTTCATATTGATACATACGACCTAGCAACAGCTTTTATTAGCATTGGATGCATTGGCTGAATGCAAGGATCCTAAGGATCCAAAATATAAAATCCAAAAATAATGGCTTTAATAGAACCCTTAAGACTCAAAGCTCAAAAGAGAGAGAAAAAAAAAAGAATAGGAGTGAAAGGATGCAACATTCTCCAATTTTCAATTTTCGTATGCCAGTACATCCTATTTATACAAAATAGACTTAAGAAAGTTACTACTACTGCTACAAGCAATAAGAACTTATCAGTGCTTTTGCTAAAGGGAACTTAAAGACAGTAAGTTGCCGGCCGGAAGTTTGACAATCAAAACAAAACTCAGTTTTCAGCAAGCCAGTACACAAGGAAGAGTTCTCTACTTACCAGCAAAAGCACTTAAACACTCATCTCCCTCCCTCAAAAAAAGGTTACTCAGTCTACATGATAGCTAGCCTCCCATAATAGTTAAATCTGATTACTTTTGTTTTCCGTGATCCAATCTGTTTTTATGAAAGTGCTTGACCAATGTGTTAAAGAGTTTCTATATTAGCAAAAAACAGTACTTGCAGAAGGCAGATGTTCACATCTGAATAACAATATTTAAAGTAATGGTAATAAGATTTGAACAGAACAATGAAATTAGTGACCGTATAAAAGTGTCAAATGACTTTACCAATCATTTCTAAAACAAGAGAGAGAGGCTGCCATCTACCCTTGCCCAAAGTGATATATAAAATTTTTCTCTCTGTATTTCATGTCAGAGATTGGAAAGTTAATAGCCAAATAGCGGAAAAGAGACCCAGCTGAAAATACATCAGCTAAACCATTGATAAATATTTTAAATATTCATTTATTAGGAATGCAGTCACTGCATGCCTCAACACCAGATAGACACTAGCCTAAAGTATCAGAGAATATAAGACGCATATGTACAGAATCTAAAGTAAGTTTTAAGAATACATATTTGCATACACAGAAATGTTAAAAAAGGTGGTGAAACTACAAGAACTTAATGTCATCAATAATAATGTCAGTATATCAATTAATCAACAGATTAAAGAAACCTCAAACACAAATTTACAAACACAGCAAGCCACATGATATATCTAGTTTCAGAAATCTATCATTGAAATCATTCATGCCTTTAAAGCTCCCTTTAAAACAGTCTAAAAAGGACAACGCCTTGAGAGCGGTAGTCTCCTTCATTAAGTAAGACTGGAGATCAGTTAATAGTCATTGAAATAAATTTACAGCAGTTACATTTAAAAGGTGCTAGCAGCTCCAGTTACAGCTAGGAATAGCTTTGGGTTCGTTTTGTTGTTGTTGTTGTTGTTTGTTTTTAAATAGACTTTAACTGTTGAACTTCCTAATATTAAGCAGTAGTAACTACAGATTAGTACAGACTGAAATTTTCAAGGCTGGACCTCTTTCTTAGACTGAGCTCTCAGGACAATGATCTTCCAACAATCAGAATAATTAGTTTCACTTGTGTTAGAGAATTATAGCCATTCACCGGAATACAACCATTTCCATGGTTCAGATAAATAACGTTAAGTTTCACACGAGGCCTGATGGTAAGGAGGGGTCTCTTCCATCCACCTGACTCTTCAGAAAAACAGTAACCAAAATGGATCACCGACACAGAGTAAAGGGCATTGCTTGAACACACGCAACCAATACACATTTTAACACAGTATAGCTTTAAGTCAGCATAAACATACACACACTGAGGCAATTTTTCCTGCATGAGAAACTATATCCAGGAGAGACCTGCAAGAAGGCACACTGGCCCTGGTATATGCTCAGGTAAAATGGAGTTCCCACGGTAAAACAGTGGCCAAAAGAGCTAACAATCCTTAATCAACAGAAAGATGTTAATAGCAAGGAGTTATTTTGCCATTGTATTTGATGATGATGCAAGTGCTAACAAGATACTGACTCCAGGACTCAATAAAGCAAGCTGTGGCTTTAAGGAGCAGCAAGAATTAATGCAGGAATGAGGGAAAGACTTTTGTTCAAATTCACACAGGAAATGGCAATTC